GCTTAATTTTGAAGTCATTATATGTGGTTAATATTTTCAGTCAGGTAATGAGAGCTGGGATTGAGGTTTGATCAGGAATCTCCAGTTTTTGTCCTTTTTGGTATAGATATTTTCTTGTGTACTCAGGACTGATAGATTTCATTCATTGTTTTGCTTCATAGTGTATCCTGAGTTATTGTTATGATCTTTTGAGGTATGAATAGAATTGTACATTAATGTTTAAAATGTTATAGATTTTTGCTAGACTGTTTGATTGAAGTTATAGATAGCTCTGGTAAATTGTTGATGGATTGCTTGAAATTCTTTCCAAGTTAGATCTTGGGGCGTTACAAGACCTATATGAGAAATTCATTGCCTTAACTCAGCGGGGGCTGTTATGGGGTACAAGGAGAGGTTTGAGTTGCTGTCAAGTAGGTTGATGGGAATTTCAGAAGCAGTATTGAAGGAAAATTTCATGAAGGGTCTCAAACCCGACATATGAGCGGACCTCCGATTGCTGAGATGAGGGGGTTAGAAAAAATGATGGAGCTAGCTCAGATAGCGGAGGATCAGAGACAGATGGAGAGGATTAGTAAGAGCTGGGTTGCCGGAGGCTTTTATAGAAGTACCTCAACTTCATTGGCATCAAGGACCCATACGATGTCATTTAGCTAGAAGCACCGAGGGAGAAAAATGGGGGAGTTTGCCCTAGGGCCAACTTTAACCGCCTCACAGAAGTAGAGGTGTAGGATAAGAGAGAGAAAGGTTTGTACTTTTATTGTGATGAGAAGTATGCACCCGCTCATCAATGTAAAGTCCGCACACTCTAGGTCGTTATGTTTTGTGAGGGGGAGTAGACCAACAATGAGGATATTTGGGTGGAAGCAGGAGGGGAGCAGTTACATCTAGATGTGACAGAAGTATCCCTTAATTTAATGGTGGGGTTTACTCTAAATCACACAATTAAAGTAAGGGTGAAGATCAGGGAATAACCAGTGGTGCTATTGGTGGATAATAGGGCTATACATACCTTCATCTAAAGTTGGGTCGTGCATCAGTTGTGATTGAAGTTGGCGGACACAAGGAGCTTTGGGGTTATGATGGGAACAAGAAAGGTGGAGAGGAGTAGGGGGATATGCAGTGGTTGGTGTTGACACTCCAGGGTATACAAATAGTGGATGATTTTCTTCCCTTGGATTTTGGGTGCATTGATGTGATCCTAAGGATGATGTTGTTACAGATGATTGGGGAGACGAAGGTAGACCTCAATTCTCTGACTTTGGAGATTTAGGTGGAGGGGGAGAAGGTGGTGTTACGAGGAAATACCAAACTTTGCAGAACCATGGTTTCACTCAAAACCATGATGAAGGCGATACAAGAAGTGGACCTTGCAAGGAGCCATATACCCGCATATTACAACAGCTTTGAATGTGTGGCTATGCAGAACTTACTCCTGTGTCACAGTTGCTATGTCACCTCCACTAGCCTTGATGTTCGTATAAATTCTCCTTTTTTTCTTGCCTTTTCTGCTCTTATTTCTTTATTTATTTGTTACTTGGGCTATTTTCAAATGACAAGAGACTTTGAAGAGAGTTTAATGGGAAATAAGAGCAGAAAAGGCAAGAAAAGAAAGATACAGGTGGATTGGGAATCCCTAATAGCCTTGATGTACTCGGCCTTGACGCATTTTCTTTATCTGTTCTTTTATTTAAATTGCTTGTTGTTGTTGCCCCTTTTATTTAAAGTTGTAAGGCGTGTCTATTCAAAATAATATTGTTATATTGTTTTATGTTTGTCTAAATTGTAAAGAAAGGAAGTCTTTAATTTGCAATCCTAATAGAGCTTTAAGTTGCATCAGAAGTGCAGTGTTCAAGTGTGAATTTATGAGAGTGAGAAGACATGCTTTTATTTGGAATGCAACAATTGTAATAAAGTAGTTAAAGGAGGTGCACAAGAATGAAATAATATATTTTTGGTTCTCATAAGTTCAAATTCAATTTACATTCCATGGATATAATGATTGTTGACTCAATAGAGGGGGTATGCTGATCTGCAACATATAGTTTTTAGAAATAAGAAAGAATATTTGGATTTCAACAAACTAAAGACTCTATAGAAAAGTATTCTCCTATTACGGATTCTATTTACACTAAATTTTAGTATTCATTGATTAGTTTTTTTTTTTTTAATTTATATTCTATGCTCATTGTGCTTTTTTTAAATTAGTTTAGAGGTGAATTTAGGTTTTGTTTTGTTGGGTTGTTGCTTATTTAAAATGAAGTTTTAGAAACAGATGTTGAGAAAAAGGGGTTTATTAAAACAAAGTTTTAATTATGAAATTTGGTTTGAGTAACATTTTTTAAGTGCTTATTTGTAGAAATTGAGTTTGAAACGGAATAAATAGAAATCAAATAACTTTTTTGACAGACAAAAAAATGGAGTTATGTGAAAAGGAATTATATAAAAATTGTTCTTCCAAATATTTAAAAATAACTGATTTTGGCTTCATGAAAATGAAAACAGAGATATTAAGCCTAATCAAACAAATCCTTAATTTGGAGATGATAGTTTTGGATTATAAAGGTTTCTAGTCAAAATGATTGGTCTTCCATGCTTGTCATCGTGGTGCAAGTAAAATTGAAGTACTTATAACTAAGTTCATATCAAGAGATGAAATCACTTGATTATCTCTTAGGATGAATTCATTGATTTACATTATATATAACAAAAGATTAAAAGATGGACATTTGAGAAAGGACGTTTTGGAGTATGATGAAAATTTCTTAGTAAAAATGACGTTCCTTTGGATGATGAATTATTTGAGGAGGTTGAAAATGAAGTTTCGCGATCACAATTTTAAGAAAAAGATTCGATATTGACTTATTTGTTAAATTGAGGAAAAGATTAACGAAAGTCAACAAGAAATTAACATAAAATGTTAGTATAAATTTTCGTAACAAAAATTAGAATTATTAATATAGTCATTGTTTAAAATTTTAATTAATATGTTTATATGTTTTCATTGATGACGGAAGAGTGAGATGACTTAGATTGATGATGTTGAGGACAATTGGGAGGATTTTAATTCAACTGAAGATAAGAGTGAAGAGAAAGCAATTAATTACAATGATGATTCTAGTAAAGGCCCTCTTATTGATGGAGTTCGGGAGGATTTTGTATTTATAAATTATGATCTTAAACAATTTATTTATATTGAGTTGGGAGTATGGGAGACTTATTATTTAGTGCTTATAGCCTTGTATGCATTTTTGCGATCTTATTTTTGACATATTACTTTCATGTGTGTATGCTACTTATTTTTTATATTTTTTTATTAATTTAATGATTTAAGTCAGAGGCTTAGACCTCAAAATATCCATGAGCTTATGCGTTGCCTCACAAAAAGAAAATGCGTCAAGGCCAAACAATGCAATTTGAAACATTGCATGCAGATGAAAATGATTAGTTTTTTGCTTATTTAGTATTTTAGCCAATTGATTTGCAAAATTGTCTAAATCCCATTTGTTAAGACATCTGAAGCTTTAGGTTGAGTTCCATATCGGATTGTTGACCATTAGTAATTTGTTTCAATTTTGGCCCTTTTTTGATTGATTCCTCCCTAAAAAGTGATATAGAAACAATAGTTCGCTTGTGATAAAATGGTTCATGTCCTTTGTGGCTCCCATGGGTCTTTTTTTATTCTATCATGTTTGGGCAAAGTTCAAGAGCAAGGGACTCTCACGAAGGATTCATTTGGTTTAGTGTGCTCTTGGTGCATGATACTTAATAAAACATTCATTTAAGAGTGATGGCAGATATAGAGAGCTATAGCATGAGGGGATATTGTTAAAACATGTCAAGTTTTAAGCTTTGTTCCTAAGTAGATAGTTGAAAAATATGTTAGTTTAGAAATACAAAGTAATTGATCTACACTGTCAAGTTTAATTTTTGGATTGAAAATCACATTAGTTACCAATATAATTGTTCAACCCGCACAGGTTGAACAAGAAAAGAGCAAGGAAAAAGAATCACCCAAAATAGCATCCAGGCCTTAGGCCAATGCTTGGAGATGGCTTCCACCTGAAGTTTATAATCACCAATAATAGTAGGTTAGAATCACAACAACAGAGACAATAGCATAGAGAGGGCATAAAATAATTCAAAGAAAGTATTATTGAACTTGAACTTTTATGTCACAGATATTCTTTTATTTATAATTATAAAATCTCTCCTAAAATAAATAACAAAAGGTGTTAGAATTAAGTTGTCTACCTGGATCATTGGAAGACTCAGCCAAAACATGCTGAGGACAACTCGCGGGCTGTAAGTGCCTCCATATAAATAGGTAGCTAGGCGACCCGCATTTGCGGTGAAGATTTGCACGTTGATGGACATGTAAATAGCTCACAAAAGCCCTTGCACATGGCGGTTCATGAATCTGTTAAAGGTGCAGGTGTGTGGTTGTTTGTTAGGTGTGTGGTTGCAAACAAACCAGTCTCGAAAATATGAATTGAAGTAACATCTTGGCCAGAATTTTAGCCCAAGATAGAGATCCAATTCAGGTTGGGAACTAAAACCTAACCAAATCAGCACAATAACTAGAGAGTACAACCCATTTTCCTTTGGGATCATCATTATTAACATGTTTTTTAATAAAAAACAAAAAGTGTTGAAGCAAAACTAATGTGACCAAAATCAATGTTTTGACTCTCAATCCAGTCGTCTCAACAGATGTTTTATGTTTTGGATGAGTATAACATTAGAGGTTTGGATCATATTTGAATTTTTTATTCCAGTTTTATTTCGTGCTTTTTGTAAAAAAATTGATCTTTTTTTAAAGAAACAACAGCACCTTAAGATTGCATCTTTGTGTGGTTGATTTCTGAAGTGATTTCCTGAAGTTTTGTTTGCTTCAAAACTAATTTTTGTCTAATTAGCCTCTCTAAATTGAGGACGGATATACACATGAATTCATCATGAATGGTTTTCTAGTGGTGCGGATTATGTCATCCATCATGCAGGAACTCTAGAGGTTATGAAGTGGCAAAGGAGTTCACCTCTAAATTCACACATATATCACCGGTTTGGTATGAGCTAAAAAGGTACGGAGTGAGTTAAAGGTTTAGTGAGTTGTTAATTTCATATAGTTGACTGAAAAATAAACCCTTTTTTCCAGTCAAGGGAAGAAGCTTTTTTTGGATGGACGGGATAATGCTGACAAGCGTTTGGTTAACGATCTCAGCAAGAATGGAAATGTTCTGGTTAAGCTAATTTCCAACAACTCAGTTCTGATCATTTTTTAAATCAATTTTAATTTGATACGTAGAAACTTTAGTTTACTAAGTTTATGGTTTTGTATTCATTTTGTAAAATCATGAGTTCATTCTTACTTCATTATAACTTCCCTCACTAAGATAACGTCTTTGATATTTTGAAAAACTATTGTATTATTGACACAACGGTAGTAGTCTATTAAGACAAAGGATTAAAAAAGTTGATTTATGTAATTTGGTTACATACATTGGAGGACAAAAGAAGTATCAAGAAGACATTATGTCAGCTAGAAAATTTGTGGAATAGTTAGGAAGAAAAATGGTTAACTAAAGATGATTTTGATAAAAATTTACAAATGAATTACACAAAATATAATTAACATCCTATAGAATTTTCTGAAGATATGAGTAGAGAATGATGATTCATAAAATTGAATCCAAATGCTTGGTATAAAGTCACTAGTGATAATGATTGCTACAAACTTATGGTTGTCATGCATGATAACGAGACCCTCTGTCCCGATAGAAGAGAGCCTTCTACTACTCATGCATTACCATGCTATGCGTTCCAATAGTAGTTATATGCTATGAAAATTGGCTTCTTTTTTATTTTATTTTATTTTATTATTTTTTTTTAAAATTGACTTCTATTATTATTGCTAGAACCTATTTGAGGACACTTGCTTTTGCTTTTGATTTAATGACCTGACACCGTTACCCAAAATTTATTAATTTTTTTCCATATTTCGAACAAACATAACTATTGAACGGCACTACAATTGCAGGGACCTAACTCCCTTTTTCGGTGCAGGTGCTACCTAGAGTTGTTCTTGAAGCATTTCCGGCAGATCTGTTGCTTAATAGGAAACAATGGAGTAAGGCATGCAACATCATTCTAAAAGAATGCAGGTAGGTGTTTATTATTTTAAGAAGATATTTTAAAAGAACATACATGCATCAAATGCACGTTCCTCACAAAATAGGCTCATATACTTGTCTAGGAACAAAAGATGTTAGAAAAAGGAGCCACATGGACTACATAGCACAGACTCATCAAAAAGTCTTTTGTGTTCATATCCGACATATGTTGAACCCTAACATGCCTAATATATTTCCCAACATATGTTCATCATTGTGAAAATTATGTATGCCCTTTTTTTTTTCAAAATATGAGTTAGACATATAGCCGAGATATCCGTAGACTTGGCATTTGTACTCCATGATACTTTATTTTGTCCTGACATGTCGAGATGCATAATGATGGTGAATTTTTGTTTTTTCTCAATTGGCAAACTTTGCAAAGGTAGAGGAAGTCTTGGTGAGTGAGGGTCGCAATTGTAAAAAATTTTTGTGGTCGTTTTACACTTCCCTTGCTTGCAAATTAATAAATGTCATATATTCCAAACTTGCCTAAAGGGCCGCCCTTGATAATTCTTTTGTTCGAATGTCAGTAAGTTGTTCTCCTGTGATTACAAATGGATTACAGATTAAACCACTTTAAGGTCCTCCTTATAAAGTATTTATTAACTTCATTTATGCTTTTTATGATAATGTTGCATAAGATAATGTTCAATGTTGATGGTTGATTTATTATCATAGTAGAGCCTTATTAGACCTTTTCATTCAACCTTTAAAACATTCAAAAGAAATTTTAATTCATAATAATTTGTATATTCTCACTGCCATATATCAAAATTGGGCTTCTACGCTAGATCTTACCAACACATTTTATTTTTTTCCTTTCTTCAAGTCACAAGATTACCTCCTAAGTTTGTGCGATATACTAAAGTTGATTGTTGACACAAATTGTGTCGAGTTGACTCAAATTGAGCTGGATCGAGTCTCATTGAGTCCACTTGAGTTTGATTGACTCAAGTGAGTTCAATTGATCTAATTTGAACCTTAATCAACCTTCCCTAAATCAGGAAGCTCAAATTAACTGCTTAAATTTCCTTATAAATAATGAGTGGCACTGCTGTCTTCCTATCTTATCCTAGAATTTTTGGGATTTATGGCAACTCGAGACTTCTAGATAGGACCGAGCTGGCTTTTCGTTTCAGGGCTTTGTCTTCCAGATAAAGAAAATAAGAGGTCCCTTATTTCCTTTTGGCTTCAAGAGGAGAAATGAGCCAGAGAGCCTCCTGGGGAGTGCAAGCTAGGCAAATTGAGTGGCCTAGGTTTCTTGTTTTGAGAAGAATTGAGAGTTGGAAGGCTTTCTAGGTGTGCATCCAAACCAAAAAAATAAGAGGGATTGGGCCTCTTATTGGCTGCTGAATATGTTTAAACCTTCATGAAGATTGGGGGCTCATTGCATGCAACCAAGAGGAACGAGGGCCAAGCATTCTTTTTCTTTCAGTAGAGGAAATTGTAGAGGGGTTGTTTCATTTTTCTAAAGCCGACAGATATAGAGAGCAGGGAGACGGAATTTAGATTTTCCAAATTGAGAGCAATAGGCATTTCTTCTTGCTTCCATCCTTCAAGAGAGACCTAAGGACCGTCGTTGTTTTCCTTATTCTTCCCTAACTGTGAGAGGGACTTCCTTGGTAGTGTTTAGATCATCCAAAATCTTGTGAGAGGGCTGCTTCTCTTTCAGTCCTTGCTATTGTCAAGTTCAAAAACTTCAGCCCATACAAGTCAACGGTGGAGGTGGCTGTCACGCCCCTGGATTTAAAATGGAAGAATTTCATATCTTTTGCATTTTATTATTGTTTTTATTTCATTAACGACCCTATTGTTGATAACTTGAGTTGATTAATTGCATTCGGGAAAAATATATGTTGACCAATATATAATACCCAAAGGAAATAAAAATGAAATCATACCTCTGCTATGTTAAATCCTGAAATCCCGCAAGAAATCCCGCTCCGTACCTCGTATCCGTCGAAGACATCCGCGAATCCCGCTGAATCTGCGTCACTCCAGTCGTTTCTCCGCTATTCCCGCGATGACAGCCTCGATCACCTCCCGTGAGTGTCGTTAAATACCGAGCGGAGGAAGCCTTCGGGACGAGCTCTTCTTCCACGATCTCTTCTCGTTCGCTACTGCTCTCTCCGAGCTCCTCTCCCACTCCCGACGCCCCATCCAGGATTCCTCTCCCACTGCCGATTTTCTGCTCTCCCCGACTCCCACACGATCGCATAGCTCCCGATCTCCATCCTTGTCGCAGACCCCGCCTCCTTCCTCCGATCAAAATCAAGCCGGCCCCCTTGCTCCTCCCGATCCAGAACACAGAGAGAGAGAGAGAGAGAGAGGGAAATCCCTACCTCTTATCCAAGCCGAGCCGCCCTTCTTGTCCGATCGGAAGCAACACGGGGAGCTCGTTGGCTGTGAGGGTAATTTCCTACCTTTCACGTGCTTCTTGCGGCCAAATCTCGTCCCAAACGGCCCCTTTTGGGCATTTTTTTTATTATTACTTCATTTTTATTATAATTGTTTAATTTTAATTATAATTAATTAGTTTAAAATTTTGAATTAGTTAATTAATTTTAATCATAATTAATTATATTAATTATACTTAATATTCAATGAATCATAATTAATTAAAGTTAATTATGTTTAATTGATTTAATTATAATTATTAATTAATTGTGGATTAATCTTAATTAATTAAAATAATTATAATTAATTATTTTTAAATGATAATTAATTAATATTAACCCCGTTTTCGGCGTTAGTGTCGGACCGGAAAACTAACTCATGCACGCTTTTCTCTAGCGTGGTGGGAAGGGAACCCGGTGCGACGCCTACGGCGAGGTGGGGTTAAATTTAAATTGCTTATTTTAAACCGGTGCCCGACAACCAATGCACGTTTTTCTCTAGCGTGGCGGGAGGCCCAGTTTTTCATAGATTTCCCCTAAACAAGGGAGACGCCGGGAGGTTGCCGAAATTTTCACTGAAATTTTGGACTTGGATAAAATTTTTGAAACTCAATTTGGATATAACTTGAGCATAAAAATCAAATTTAAATCAAGTTTAATTAAATGATATGAACATTGAAACAAAGTGCAAGAGAACTCAATTTGGAACTGCATTGAACTTGGACAGAATTTGGACAAATTGAACAAGGACTCAAACTTGAACTTGCAAGGACTACAGGGGACTCGAATGAAGGGAAGAGGCTCATCTGAAGCCTGAACTGTATTTGAACTTGAACTTGTGGACCTTTGAACAAGATTGAACTTGAATTGAATAAAAATCCAAATTGAAATTAAATGTGAGCCTAAACAAATGATGAACAATAAATGACTTAAATCAAATGAACTAAGTGTTGTGGATATGAGCTCAAATTAGACTCATACATGAACTTTACAAGACAAACAAAGAATTGTATGGAATACATAATCTTTGAACTTGTTACATGCAAAGAGCAATAAATTGAAGAAGTACTTGAACATTGAAGGCACAACATGGAATGTAATTTAATGTTTAGAATGAGACTTGTAATTTGGCAAGATGATAAAGTTAACCATGCAAGCAAGGATCTTGAAGAGAATACAATGATATGCTTGTAATTAACAACACAATCATTGTGAAGGTTAAGAAGTGATCATCCCAAATGGAAGGGAAATGTTAATGACCAATGGTATCAACATTCAACATAAATGTTATAGTCCCTCCTATAAGCATGATCTCACTTCTAATTGACGAAAGATTGTAAAGAATATGATGTGACTACAAAGTCAGATGGAAATATAATGACATGCCAGAGGTTAACGATACAAAGTTTTCATTCACTATCGAGAGATTAACATATCAACTGGATGAAATGTGTACAAATGAATGCAATAGAATCTTCATCATCAACAAACAATTCAACATACAAGAATGAAGTATATACAATCTTGCAAACTATAAAGTTGAAATTGGACATCAGTTCGTACAACAATCATGCAAGAAGATACAGCACTCCATACATCCAAGGTGTCGTTTATAAATGACTATAAAAAAACTAGTCATAATAAAATCCAAGTTGCTCAGGAATGAGAATTAAAGATCTGCAATACATACAATCTTTCTACGAATACAGATGTATGTATAACTTGTTATTTATGGGTAGATATAGAAGGACTTCAGTAAATGCAGTATCCTGAAGTCAATTTCAGTCTGTGAAGGAAGACATCTACCTACCTACCTGCAACAGTAGTGGATGTAAAGACCTAAGCCACAACGGAGTGCATAAAGAATAGGACAGATACAAGCTCCCACGAGCTTCTGTTGGAGCTCCGCTACGAATATTACATATAATCTACGAACAAGGCAGGATACTCGTTAGTGCACTATGATCCACCTGTAGAAAGCAATGAGTAGTGCACGACAGTCTACTTGTACAAAGCAGCAAACAACTAATCCAGGAGATGCTACGCCATGCCATCGGATCTGCAACCTCCATACAAGCAGACAGAAGGTGTCTACAAATACTTCCAAAGTACCCCCGCACGTACACAGTAGTTTGTATACACATAGGTACACTAAAAGGGATAAAAGCAATCACAAAACCCGCATGGGCCCCGACGAGCGTGTTATAAAAATACACGTGATGTCTAGGGATGCTGCGCGGGTTATCAAATTTTGAACTCGATCCTCCTAAGCAGATAAAAGGAGTGGACGTGGTTCAATTATAAAATGCCCCCAAACACCCGCATGGGCCTCGGCGAGCGTGTTATTGGTACACACGTGACGTCTAGGGAAGCTGCGCGGATCAATAAGTGAATTCTGGTTCAAAACCGATCCTTCTATACGGGTCAATAGAAGTCGACAGGGTTCTAACCATTAAGAAAATATAAAGTTGTGGCGACCGGTATGTTTGCTTTAAAACATTCATATTAGGCCTTCATGGCCTACAACAATATGAATTTACTAATAAAGGCACGAAGCCTACGAAACCCGATCCTCAGTCAATAGCTCGGCTG